ACTGTCTTATGGCATAAGTCTTCAGGGGTGAGAACTTTCATCCGCTGCTTCTGCTAAGTTATGTTTCCGAGTGAGCTTGTTTTTTCTCGAATCTTCTCCTGTACTCAGGGCAACCACGATATGAACTCACGTGTGATTCCCTACAAAGCAGGCAGGTGGGCTTATCCTCCGCCTTTAGCATGCACTCATTACTGCGATGACCTCTTCGACATTTAAGCACTTCTCTGGGTTGGTACATAGGTGTTGGAAATGTCCAAACTGCTGACATCGATAACATGAGAGTGCCGTTGTATTAGCCACCATCAGTATCTGGTAAAAGGTTAAAATCCTCGATAGTAATGTCTACAGCGAAATGCTAGTCCATGTTAACGCTGCTATGAAGAAAAAACTTCGAACTAAGTTCCGGGGCAAAAAGGTAATGTTCCATCAAGATAATGCAAGACCACATGTGTCTGCATTCACCAGCTGGACTCTGAAAGGACTCGAATTGGATCTTTTGCCACACCCACCGTAGATCCCCGACATCGCTCCTTCGGTCTTTTCCCTTTTTCCACACCTGCAGCTTCATCTTGCTGGTGCTATCTTCCGTTCTGCACAGGATGTCCGAAATGAGGTTTATCTGTTTTTGGACTCGCGGCTACCAAGTTGGCTCTTTGAAAAACTACCAAAGCGTTGGCAGAAAATCATATAGTTGGATGGTAATTACTACCCACACTTGAGGTACTGCTTTCATGTTTTTTCCCTAATTTTATTAAGAACCTTTTTTTGGCGGAAAAATTTTGCTACAACCAGATATAAGTGCATATGTTATACATTCATGTAATACTTCCGGTTCTGCTTAGTGCATTTACATCATATTTCTCTCGAAATATATGAATAATTTTCGTATTAGATCATTCCATACCTCAAAAAACCTAAGTATAATTTTAATTCATAAGATAAATTTGACAAAAATATAACTGCAATTTATTATGTATAGAGTATTTCATATCGATTTCCTTTACTTTTGAATAATATTTTGTGTTTTCTAGAACAATGCAGCACATATCCATATATTTTGAACTCTATTTATAAGAAAACAAAAGGAATACTATTTCCAAAATTTTAGAACTTTGCACATATTTGCGAATATTAACTAAATACATTTATTAAATTTTATACGTTTGTAATTTGGGACTAATCTGAGCAATGAGATCTGGAGGCCAAAGAAATTTAGATTCCCCTATAAAACTGCAGTAAAGTGACCTACCGGTGGTAAAACGGAGAAGCTGTATGACTCACCGGTAGATCACCTCGAAACAAACATATGGTCCATCGGTGGGTCACGTGGCAGTTAAGGTGTTAAAAACAGTAAAGGCATTTCTTAACACATTAAGTGCTTATTTGTAATCATTTAATAATTTGTCCGTTTGGTATAAATTAAAACACATTTAATTTACGGTACATCTAATTGATAATTTTATGAGCATTCACAATTCAATTCTAATTTCTAAAAGATGCTTTTAACCCCATGTATTTCTATTATTAAATAACGAAGAGTTTGTATTGTACAAATTACGAATTGTAAAACTATTACGAATTTTGTATATACGTAAATAATTTTAATGAAATCATATGTGAAATTGTAATATCGTTTGTATAATATAACACGGAATGGTAAAATCCTAGTATACGGTACGGCCTTGGCGCGATTTTGAAAATTGTCACCAACACCAAAATGACTCGTTTACAGTTCATTATAAACACCGCGTTTACTGCTCATCATGATGTCGCCAAAAGTCGACAAATCCCGTCTGTACCGTATACTAGGATTAAACCCACGAAATGCTCGAGAGAGACGAAACTCTGCCGGAAAAATAAGATTACAGGGCAAGTCATTGAGGCAAATATTTAGGTTCCTAGTTTGGCGAGATATCGCCAAGCTTTTCATAGCTTTGGTAACTATTTTTTATCGCCAAATTCGGCGAGAAGTCGTTAGAAGTAAGCAAACTTGAGACACTTTGGGTCGATCCCTGTATAACTGTAACTGGTACTGTAATTGAGCTCTGTATGTAACTGTAACCATATTCGGCCCTTATATGAAACTTTAACTTAATATGCAATCCAGTAATTTCGAGAAGTGGAAAGTACTAGAGATTTCTCGGCAGAAGTATGTAACATGGTGGATAGTATCAATTTCTCAGTTCTTAGTTCTAAACTGATTTCGGAGTATTGAGATACCTGTAACAGTATCTCTTTTTCGATGCGCTTTGCATTGCGTTCTGTTTAATGCTCTTAGTAGTTTAAGTGTACTGATAGTGCTCTGTGATACTGAGAAGAGTGCTTTTGTGGCAAGTTCCAGAACCGTAAAGTGTTTCTTTTGGGAAAATAAATTTTATCAAGCTGTCATCGGTTCTATGTGTATTCAGTCCATTACGAAACCGTATGGACACAACAATATGTATGTATATATATTCTTGGCACTGTGGGAAATCGGCAGCACCTACAGCCATACTTTGAATACTTACAGTCTTCTGCCCGAATATGTGTATCTCTAAGCCTGAAGCCTAAAAGCCTGAAATGTAAATTTATTTTTCAATTTACTTAATACTAGTGGAATTTATTTAATACATTTTTCAGCGTGATGCGATATGGAACCCACATAAAAAATATCCATAAAAAAATAAGCTAATTCTCTCTCATTATAGCAGCAACAATGGCACGCATATTTTATTGATTTTCTTCTTTCTAATCAAATGGGGGTCAAAGCTTAAGTTCCACCCAATATTTCACCTATATTCAATTTTAGTCGATTAAATGTGGCAAAAGATTCATCATATTGATCAGAAATCAATAACGCGAACAAACACACAGACATTCTTCTTTATATGTATAAATTTTGTAAAACTTACAAATTTTTATTAACAAACTCTGCGTTTTGAAAGCGAGCAGTAAGCAACACTTTTCGAAATAAAGCATTTTCATCTCCAACGCGAGAGACTGTTGCCACTCGGAAAAATGAATGCGAAAATGAACGCTTTCAGAATTTTTAATTAATATTTTGGCTGGTTAAAGTCGTACGAAGATGGGAATAGTCGAAATGGCTTTCCACGAATTTTTGGAATCGGGAATAATGTATTTAATGTTTGGCAATGCTATTTTTATTTCATTTTAAATCTTAGAAAAGAATCGTAGAAAGTTTGGCGACAATAGCTATAGTAGTGACTGAGTTATTAGAAGACAAACACAGACACGTTCTTCTTTATATATATATAGATTTTCGGCGACTTTAATGACATTTTGATTAACGAACTTGATGATTTAAAAGCAATGTTTTGCTACTTTGCAAAGCGCAAGATGCTTACTTTTCATATTTATTCGGAAAACTCAGTGATTTAAAAGAAATGTGTTGCCACTTGACGAAGCGTAAGATATTTGTCTTTAAAATTTAATCAACAAATTTAGCGACTAAATATATGTCCTCATTGTTCGAAATAAAGTATTTTTATCTTTTTCTCTCTGGTCTGTTGCCATTCAGCAATGCGTACGATATTTAATTTGTCTTTCAGATTAATTTGCCCGTTATTGATTAACAAACTGAGCGATATAAAACTTAACGAAAATATCGAATTATTTAATTTCGATTATTCGTAGAACGATTCTGCCGCTCTGAAACTAAAATAAAATTTGGAATTTTCAAACAGCTCTGTCGTCTACTTAGATATCGAACGCGGAAGGCGACAAACTAATACTTTCTTCTTTCATTTTTACCTGTCAATATTTCTGGAAGAGCAGCCTCCCGGCAACGACCTATCCAAACGATAGAGGGGGACCCAATTTCAAGGGCACGGCCATGCCGCAGGCTGATTTATGATTCCAGCCAAACCCCCATCAATTCGAAAAGAAAAATTCGTAAACTCTACTACTTACATTTTCTAAATCACCCTTGAAATGATCCATGCTTTTGCTACAGCACGTTGCTGGTATTTCAAATGATCTTTCGGGTGCCGGTTTCGGAGTGGAGACTGGTTCAACTCGGTGGAAGGGGAGATCGTTTGTAAACCTCCGTGGGGTAAACAGAGGAGAATGCATCGCATTAAATCAAATTAAGAGTGGTAGCTAAATACGGACATAGTTAATAAATGTTCCTAGACAGAATTTCCACTCACCTTTCTACGCTAATTTTTTTTTCCCCCTAGCAATGTTTACATTATTTCTTAAACAACTTTAACTGACAGTTAACCCACAACCGCTGTAAAGACCTTCCATTGTACATATCTAATATTCGTCAGCCACCAATGGCAACAATCAAATAAATAAATTGTTTATTAATTTTTAGCCCAAAGCGGCATTAGCCCAGGAGGGGTATTAGTCTCAAAACGTCATTTTGCGTCGAATCGTTACAAACGGCTGTATCATTTTCCGAACTTTTGCCACTAAATATTATCGGCACTGTATTATCGTTAATGAACTTTAAAAATGAAGAATGTGCATGAATATATGTATGTTTCTCCCACTGTGATAAAACAAAGGTACCTAGAGACATCCAATTCTGAATGACGTAATCCTACTGCGAATATGGGCATTTGAAATTTGAAATTTGTTTTATTATCGATTTTATATTTTGTAAAACTTAAAAAAATTTTTGATTAACAATCTCAACGAGTTAAAAGTGAGCAATGACAACACTCTACGGGGAAAAAAAAAAAAAAAAAAAAAAAAAAAAAAAAAAAAAAAAAAAAAACTTTTTATCTCTAGCGCGCGGAACTGTGTATTGGAAATTCTAAAGATGGGCCCATTTTAAAATTATTTTGCGGCATTGCTGTTGAACTGAATTTTATGGTTTAAGTGCAATGATCATGATATTTAATAAATAAAGGTAACACACAAAACGTCGGAAAATCGCCGCTTTGGACGTAATTTAAAATCTAAAAACTTTCAAGTTTTTTTTTTTTTTTTTTTTTTTTTAATGTGTGTTTTGAAGAAATGCCTATAAGTTATTTCTCCCGCCTTCCTAGCGTGCCTTCGTGGTGTAGTGGTTATGCACGCTGAACCGGGATTTCAGAGGTCCCTGGTTCGATTCCCGGCGAAGGCGATTGCTCATTTTTCATTTTGCCTGCTTCCATAAAATCCTAATGTCTCTACATGCCTTTGGAGGCTTTCCAAGTTTGGGAGTTTGAACGCTAGTTATGTTTCGCTACCATGGTACACTAGTGTGTAAAACTTAAATAACAAATTCCTTTTTCAACATTCAACTAAGAAGTTGTTGGAAAGGGCTTTTCGCGATCAGTACAGTGTAAAGCCAACTGAGTAGAAAGGTGATACATATGAAGATATCAGCATTGCGACATAAGAGGCTACATCAGGGCACGCAAAACGCAAGAACTCAGCGAGCGCAGTGCTAGCATCTTCACGAAATATGAAGAAAAAAGGAACATCTCCAGCCATTTTTTCTGCAAGTGAATGTGAGATTGGGCGTAAAGTATAGCTACAAGAAAACAACAGAACGCCTGCACGTCGTAGAATAATGGGCAAGCTTGAGGGGCGAGGTTAGATGTCTGTCGCTCAAGAGTTTGGAACTGATAAAAGTGTTGCTTCACGAGCTTGGAAAGCCTTCCAAACGACAGGTACAGCTGTAAGAACGTTTGGTGGTAGTCAGGCAAGGAAAACAACGGTGACCAATATTTCACGCTGCAGCTGAAGAGAGATCGAAACCAGACAGCTGGCAACATGTTTCAGCAACTGCGCAAAGGTGACAGGTTTCTCGGTTTACCGTGTCCAGACGACTTCATAAAGGTAAACTATTCAATCGCCGTCCTGAACGCTGCATACCCAGCAGTCCATCGACTGAACCGTTTACTGCGCTGTAGAGATTACGGTGACCAGACACCTCATCAATGGAGTCACGTCTTCTTTACCGATTAAGGTGACGGAAGACAGAGACACCTGGTATTTAACAGTGGTAAACAGCCATATGTCCCACGCCTTCCCATATCTAAATGCAGCAACTCCCTGGAGCCCCGTGGGGCTGCATCGGAACCCGCTTTCATCCCACTAACATCAGGGAAAGAGGCCATTGAAGGCATTATGATAACGGACGGACGGAGCTCCGCATTTTCAACAGAGGTTCACTTACTGGAGACTCTTACCGTAATGAAGTTAGCCTCTCCCACGAGGTCTTTTCTGGGATACCACTTGTCTCAACTTTTTTTTTTTTTTTTTTTCTGCATGGTATTGTACAGCCAAACAGGACTCATACTGTTGAAGAGCTGCTGAAAAGGGAAGACATCCACAGAATGGATTGTTCAGAGTGCTTCCTGGATTCAAAACCCACTCGACATGTGTGGGATACTTTAAGGAGACACCTATCGGTACGGTCTTACCCTCCGGAGAACACGAGACCAGTGAAATAGATGCTCCTTGAAGAATGAGAACTCTTACCCAAGAACTGTTAGATAATCTGGCGTTCAGTATAAAGCAATCATTGCTGTCAGGGGAGATCATATCCCTTACTAAGGCTCTTTGGTTTGTTCTTCTCTCCCTATGGACAGGCAATTTCTTGTACCAACACCATTCTGTCAATAAAGCCTTTTCCTATTTTTTCCATACAGTATGAATCCTGTTCTCTCTCTCTCTTTTTTTTTTTTTCTACTATACGTTATAACGTATTTTTCCAGCCTTCTTAGCATGCCTTCATAGTGTAGTGGTCGGCACGCTGGGCGAGTATTCGAGAGGTCTGTGATTCGAGTCCCGGCGAAGGCGTTGCTCATTTTTCATTACTCCTGCTTTAAAAATAACCTAAAGTCTCTACATTGGTGCCCGATCTAAAAAGGGTGCTGGATGATGATTCTCCACATCCAGGATTTGGCGTTTAGGTCCCCTAAACCCCAGTCTCCCTTTAAAAGGGGAAGTATATAAAGTATTTCTCCCGCCTTCTCAGCATGCCTTCTTAATGGTCAGCACGCTGGGCGCGTATTCCAGAGGTCCGTAGCTCGATTCCGACGAAGGCATTGCTCATTTTTCATCTCTTCTGCTTCGAAATAACCTAATGTTTCAACAACATTTATTCATTAATTAATTCTTTAAGTACACATTATGCCTATAATGTGTACTTGAAGAAAAAATTTCATTTCTCCCACTTAAATTTTGCCAAATTACGGCCAAAATTAGAAAAGTTACTTGAATTTGATCATTAGTTTATATAATATCTATATGACTTAATGAGTATTGTATAAGAGATAAGATCTTTAACTTGTATTGGACGCTGCATGAGAAAAAGCCATTTCCCAGAGCGTTGCCAATCGGCAATTTTTAAGAACTTTAATTATCTTCAGAATTTAATTCATTTGTCATTTATTCATAAACTGAGGATTAAAATTTAAAAAAAAAATTTCTAATAATTTAAATCTTTATATGTTTTTAATAATACGTATAAATGATATGTCACATTTCTTCGATTTTAAGGTTCCTCCCCATATAAAAGCTACTAAAACGGGATGGAACTTAGAACTAGAGGCAATCGTAAGTTCTTCTGAGTAATTGATTTTTGTTCTGAGTAATTGTTTAGTTACTGTTTCTGAGTAATTGTTCTCAAATAACAAATTTTTCTGAATCCCTACTTCAAACCAATATACAGTTGTGAATAAATCAAACGTGATTATATAAAGATATTTACTTTTTTGTGTTTTAATATTTTATTTCATTTATTTTATTTGCTTAGAAATTTTTTTCCTGTTTGCTGTGATAGCGAATTAAGGGATGACTTTTAGAATCGCCAATTCTTACGAATTACTAATTGAAGTAATTACTTTTCCCAAACTGCTTAACAAAGCAGTTGTATTATAGTTGTCAATAAATCAGAACCGATTGTTCAAAAGTATTTGCTAATTATTTTTTAACATTTTATCTTATTCAGTCTGTTTGCTTAGAACCAATTTCTTTTTTCTTTCTGCAAGAGGTACTAAAATTAAGGCGCGCTCCTTGAAATCTCAGATTTTTCCGAATTAGAAATTGTTTCGAAATAACTCGATTTTTTAAACGATATATTTAAACAGACGCCGTAAGTACATCAAAGTCGGTTATTTAGAAATATATACTTAGTGCATTTGAACATTTTATTTCCTTTCTTTACATTCAAAATTTTTTCCTACCTCGTATGGTGGTAAGGAAATTAAGGAGTGGCGCGTCAAAAATAGTTTACGTTATTAATTCAATCAGATATATTATAGTTATTGGTAAACCAAAGTCGATTATTAAAAAATATTTGTTAATTGTATCTGATTTTTTTCCATTAATTTTATTTGCTTAAAACCTAAATTATTTTCCTTCTGTCAGTCCTGCTGAAAGTAAGGAGTTATCTTATAATTGATGGTGTCTTAGATTTGTATGTTTCGCCGAATTATTAATTGTTCCTAAATAATTAAATTTTGTAAATTATTAATTCAGCAGATATGTTGAGGTTGTTCCAAAACCAACTCAATTACTTAAAAAATACTTAATTAAAAATAAAGAAATTAGAAATTAAATAATAAAGAATCTACATGAATATATGTATGTTTCTCGAATTGTGAAAAAGCAACGGTACATAGAGCCATCCAGTTTTGAATAACGTAGTCCTCTACTCGAATATAAACATCTGGAAGCCCAAATTTGAAATTTGGAAATTGTTTTATTGTCTATTTCATATTTCGTAAAACTTTAATTAATTTTTGATTAACAAACTCAATGATTTCAAACCCCCTCAATACCTGTAGGCTGCCTCAACGTGGCGAGGGGGTGGCACTGGGTGGAATTGGAGAAGTACGTCGGGAGTGTATACTCCTGGTAGGGCCACCCTAGGCGTGAAGGCTATTCCATTATACCCAGCTAAAGCCTACAGGCATCTGAGCCAAGTCAGTCCTCTACCATTGGTGCTCGGGTCTCCCAACTTACAGAAGCTGCCCTTTTCCTCCACCCATGAGTCATGAAGCTTTCTAATGTGATCCATACTGCATCGCCCGTCGCGCAGGTTCAAAAGGGGCGCGTTCGAGGTTTCGTCCTCGGGGCGGAAGAGGATCTCGTCCGAAAAATAAGCTACAATCTCCTAGATTACGAACTCTTAAAATTATCCAATGTAATGTCAATGGTATTTCAACATTGGCAGCGAAATCTAAACTTGACCAAATACTGAAGTTGGCTGAAGACCAGGGAGCTCAAATTATCGCTCTACAGGAAACTAAACTGAAAGAGAATTCTCAACTAAAAGGGATACAACATAATCCGTTTAGATAGACACGCGAAAGGAGGCGGTGGACTTGTTTTCCTTATCAGAGACATTAACTATATTTCCAAAAGTTATAATGTACCCACTGGTTCAGATTTAGAGTTGTAAGGCGTCACTGTTTTGTGGAGAGGTGAACCACTAAACATCTTTAATTTATATCACCCTCCCAACATTGGTAATTTTCCTGGAGTCCTTGATAATCTTTTATCTGGAAATACTCTACTTAAATGCAAAGCACCCAGCGTGGGGTTGCTCTTCCCAGAACCAGAGAGAACTTAATCTTCTTCATTCTGTTGATGACTCAGGTTTCATGATCCTTAATGATGGTACTCCAACGCACTCTTCATATAGCTATAACACGTCTGAAGCCCTTGACCTGTCTATAGTAAGCCCCACTATCTTTCCAAATTGCACCTGGACAGTTATGAAGAATATTGGGAGTGACCATTCTCCAATATTAATTGAAATAAAGAAGAAACAGTGTACTTTCCTTAGTCGTAAAAAATATGGAATTTTGCTAAGGCAGACTGGCATTTGCAGACTTTCCTCCAGAAGAGAGAGAACCTGCGACTCGAATTAAAAAACAATAATACAGATCAAAACAGGACAGAGATGAACAAAGTCAATGCAGAAATAAAAAGAGCTTATGTGCTGCTTAAGAGGAAAAAATGGATGGATATATGTGAGGGACTTGATGCTAGATCCTCTGACACGAAATTGTGGAAATTGATAAAAAAATATTAGCAGTGAACAACCTCAGATAAAGAGATGTAATACTATCTTAGATACGTATGGCAACATCCCTATAGACGAAAAAGCTGCAGCTGATCTCC